TACATATTTATTGAAACCATTTTTTTCCATATTCTGTGTAAACAGTAGTTTATTCTCCAGGGGACAGCTTATGTATCAGGGCAATCAAATGTTAAGGCATAACCTGTTCTTTTAGAACAATCTATAGCTTCTTACGATCTCCAGAGTCAAAGAATGATTTTCTTCTGAAATTCTTTGGTACACTTCAATAACCAATGTATATTTGCAAAATGATCTCTAGAACTTCTTCCTTTTCTCTATCTGACCTGAACATTCAGCATTTCTTGCTCTATATATGGTAAAAGTCTTAACTGCAAAACTTTGAACATCACTTTACTTGCATGGGAAACTACTGCAATGGGCCGCACTCTTTGGCACCTTTTTTTGTTACTGGAGTGTATACTGAACGTGACTTGTCCATGGGCGGTTGTTTTGTTCTCCAACTTGTTGGCAAATTGTTATTAGGATTTTGATAGATAGCTTGGAAAAGAGCTATTGGAATCCCATTTTCTCCCAGTGATTTATTTCTGCGAAATGCTTTGACAGCAGTTTTCACCTCACTTTCTAAAATTAAAGGTTCTTCATCACAGGATTCTTCTTTAAAGCAATATGTCATCTTCACATCTCTTTATAATTTTTTAAGTACATTTTTTCCATTGTCTCTTTATTTTATTTTTTTCCTTGTCAAATAGTACGTGCCTTGCTGATCTTTCAGCATTCCTAATCTAGGTTGACATTTCCCCTTTGAGTTCTTTTATGAGACTGATCTTTTGTATGGGTTTTTTCCTTGTTCTCTTCTATTTCTTTGCATTGATTATTATGTGGCAGTCTCTGTGTCTTGTGTGGCAGTCCCTGAAAGGTTGCATCTATTGCTTGAGCCCTTTCATTTCTGCCACGAAAGACTACAATATCATATTGTGGGTGTATATACTTAACTGTTGTGGCATAGAGCACATGGGATAGAACTACTGACTTTTCTGAGCAACCTCACATATTCCCATTACAGGTTATGCATCATCATCTGGGCATCATTTATTTAATTTTCACAAACCAGAGACGGCATTTTCTCCCAGTAAAACCTTGCAGATGTCAATGCATCTGGAGGATTCACCCATGTAATTGCAACCAGATTCTAGCCTGGCATATATGAGGAAGTTGAAAAAGACAAACTGATGATGTGAAGAGTGCTGTGTAATAAGATTTATTTGAGCACACAAAGAAGTCAATGTATTTTACAGCTGAATTACAAAGGAAAGACATTTTTTTCTTTCTCTATACACACCAGCATCCCTCTGTACAATAAAACCAACAATTCTGCATACTTTCTCATTTAAAAAAATCATCAAATATGAAAACTGAGCCTATATACAAACAAATTTGGGAAAATACCTTATTTTAAAAAGATTATACAGCTTTTACATTTTGATAAGTTCTAAAAACAAGACAGAAAATGTAGGTGATGCATACTAAGAAGATACAGTTCCTAGAGATGACGCGGTCTTTGGTATTACGTACTAGTGGTACCTCCCAGCATCCAGAGGGAGGATGGGCATCCTGGGGTTTTCAAGATGATGTCTGGCTGCAGTTCCCATCACACTAAGCCAACAGGTCCATAGGTCATGGTGATGGGAACTGTAGTCCAACGACATGGATAGCCACAGGTTTACCACCTCCGATTAACATTAACATAAAAACTACAATAGACCCTCTACTTACAGAATTAATCTGCATTGGAACGGTGGCTGCAGGTCAGAAAGTCTGTAGGTTGAGTCTCCATTGACTTACAATGCATCGAAAACCGATTAATCCCGTAACCGTCCGTTTTTATTCCATTTTTGTTCCACTTTGGTTTTTTTCTGGTCTGTAGGTCAATTCTCCGGCTGCAAGTCGAACCTAAATATTGCGGCCAGGGAAGGCTGTAACTCGAAAAGTCTGGAAGTCGAGCCGTCTGTAAGTCGAGGGTCCACTGTACTTTGTATTGAATCAGGCCATGTGGCCCAAGAGGGGGGAAACCAGTGTCACTCAGGGATTTATTTCTAAATCCCTCTGCAAGCAAGCAATTCAACTTTTAGTAAGAAGGATCCGTCCCTTCTCTCGGAGCCCTTAAGGTGGGCAGCAAGAGGGAAAGTGTGAAAAGTGTGAAAAGTGGAGGGCAGCATAGGAAGGAAGAGAAAAGAGTGGCAGGAAGAGATGGATCCACCCACTTGCAGCTCTGGCCTTATCCACTACTACCTTGAGTTCCACCCCACATCAACATGCCACCTCTGAAAAATTGCCTTCAGAGAGCACGGCACACAACTTAAAAAGCAAGTTTCATGCCTGTCACTATTCCAGTAACAGCTCCCACAGTCATCAGTTAGCTCTAGAGATAGGCACGAATTAAAAGATGAATCACCATATTCATTCAAAAATCTCTAATTCACCAATTCGTATTCGTATGAATCAATGCCCCAATGAATCACAAATCAATGAATTTTTAGGGATTATTTATTTATTTATTTATTTATTCATTTGGCTATAAAATGGCCTTCAAGGCACCTAGAGATTCCAAATGACTCTCCTCTACAATCCCTCCAAGTTTGGTGAAGATTGAATTTCCCCAAGCCAGCTGCGAATGGGCACTTTCCTGGGGGGATGTACTTTGTGGGTGTATAACTTGAATATCTGAAACCCAATCTTCACCAGAATTGGAGGGACTGTAGAGGAGAGTCAGTAGAAACCTCTCTGTGATTTAGGTGTCTCTAGATGTCTAGGGGGAACTTTCCTGGGGTGGCCGTCCTTGCGGGTGTATAACTCAGATATCTGAAATCCAAACATCACCAAGCTAGCAGAGCCTGTAGGGGAGAGGCACATTTGATGTCTCTAGGTGCTTTGGTGGGGGGCACTGCATAGGATTTTAAGTAAAAAATGAATTGACAAATTGATTCATCAATTCATCAGGAAAAAAATAGTACATTTGTAATTCGTGAGGACCAACATCACTGATCTTGATGAAATCACAAATCAAAATGAATCATAATTTTTCTGATTTGTGCCCATCTCTAGTTAGCTCTCAAATGTTGGGCAGGCCCTTCCCAGATTCTTCAGCTGAGATCTTCCAACTGGAAATATCCAGGATTGTGAGTGTGTAAAAAAATATAATCTAATACTATATTGCTTTTCACATCTCTAGCTTTTGAGATTCACAATCTGTTGAATTTCCCTTTTTTCTGTATTCGTTTTTAAAAAGGGAGCATCTTGCTAATTTTAAATCTCAGCTAGATTGAAAAAAAACCCAAGTAGGAACTTATATTTGTAATGATTTTGCCAAATTCATTATTGTTTAGCTTTTACATTGTCTGGGTCATAAATACACCATAAATACTTGTAATGCTGCTCTTCCTTCAAGCCATAATTCTTCTCTGGAAGAAATGTAACCTAACCATCTGTATCCATTCCTGGAGACTGGTGTGGTCTGGCCAAGGCAACACATGCCTCGGTTACTTCACAGCTGGATTACTACGTGGGATTACCTACGGAAAGTGTTCAGAAACTTCAGTGGGTCCAAAATGCTGCAGCCGGATTACTAAATGGGGCTGGTTACAGGGATCACATCCCCACCCCACCCCTACTCCTGTTACAGCAGCCCCACTAGATGCCACTCCATTTATGGACTTAATTCAAGGTGTAGTTTATAAATGATAAAACCCTAAAAAGCTTGGGTGCAGGCTATCTTAGGGACTGCATCTCCCTTGAGGGTTAAAACCATCAGGAGAGGTCTTTCTCTCCTCCCCACCACCTCTGTAGGTGCATTTGGTGGGTACGTGGAAGAGGGCCTTCTCTACTGCTGCTCGGAGACATTGAAATGCCCTCCTGCATGGTATCCATGGGGGGCTGGTCCCCAGCCTCCTCCCTGCGTACACTGAAAAATGCAGAAGTAGCAAACACTATTCATTGCATTGTCTCTCCCTCTAGTAGCTAGTTCTAGTAAATACACCATGGAAATACATATAAATACATGTTTTTATTTATATATATTTTTGGGCAGGAGACCAGTAAATATGCGGATGATGCTGATCCAGCAGATAAGGGGGGTATTACCGTGTTGGGTGCTGCTATGACAGTATGTAGCTCCTATTCACATGCCAAGGACCCTGGGAAAGAGAATTATCTGGGAAATTTGCTAATGCCATGAATGGACAATTGCATTTTCCAGGGACTCTGCCATATGAATCCATATCCACTCCTTGCAGTCGGAAAGGACTGTGGCGTCTAAGGTGTGGGTGGCCATTTTGGGGAGAAGGATTCCATTCCATCTCTGGTAATGTTATCAATAGTAGTAAGTTATTTGGGCCATTGATCTGATGCTGTTTAAGGCAGATTCCTTTGTTCCTATCTATCTTGGTTGAGTTCATGCCACACCTCCAGGGGGAAAAGCATAGGAGTTCTAACTATGAACAACATATTAATTAATCTTCTTAAAATGGAAGACCATTTCCCCCCCTCTTATTCATCTTATTTATTTATTTTCCACAAAATTCAGAGTAGTTCTATGCCTCTAAAAACATATTTCTTTTAGAACATGGCCAACATGCATGGGTTCCAAACTACAGTGGTTTAGTTCTTTTGTGTTAAACAGCTATCATTAAGTCACTGAAGCAGAGACTAGTGGTTTATGCTGTATAAGAGGGAAAAGATTATTCATTAAAGAGGTCACAGTGCGTCCCGTCACCGAAAAAAGGGAATCTGGGATGTATGTATGAGTTGGGGGTGGGGGGAGAGAAGGGACTCCTGTGTTAACAAAGGTCCCTGATCAATGAAAAGATCTGACAAGATTACAGACTCAGGGCACTTAAACAGCTACTCAACATGTATTCTCAAAGGCTTTCACAACCAGGATTTAATGGTTGTTGTGGGTTTTTCGGGCTCTTTGGCCGTGATCTGAAGGTTGTTCTTCCTGACGTTTTGCCAGTCTCTGTGGCCGGCATCTTCAGAGGACAGGAGTCAAAACTCTGTCTATACTCTGGACACGGCCAAAGAGCCCGAAAAACCTTACAACAACCAGCTACTCAACAGTTAAAACAAGTTTACTCCAGAGTAAGGTCCAACCAAGAGCTACAACCAACTCCAGCTCTCTGAACAGCATCTCCGTGGGATGCACATATTTCCAAGTCTGTGTCTCTTTCCAGTCACATCTCAAGCTTTTTTTTAAAAAAGGGCAGGATCCTAAATAAATTTCAGACCTCTACACACCAAACTTTACAAAATTAAATTGAAAGGGGAAAAAATAGCAGTTGTATGGAGAAAAGGCTACATGAGTGCAAAGATGTTTGTTATAAATCCAATTGGTTAAAAAACAGCAGGTATAAGGCAATTGTGCAATAATTTTTCGTTTCCTATCAGTTTCCCTCTGCACATCTGGGCATACATCAAGTCACATAAGTAAACAGGATTCTGCCTGAGGTTTGTTTTTTTTTAAATCAAAGAATATGCTTTTTTTTTGTTTCTCACAGCCAGTTTGGTTCCTCTTGACAAAGATTTTGCAACTTTTCTATGAGAATAAGTTTCACAGGGCCAAATTACATGACACGTCAACTACACAATAAGGAGGTGGAACAGCATTATTCCTGCTGAGTTGCACTCCCTTCAAAGCTGCTGTATTTGTGCAATAAATTTTAAATTTGGCTTCTACTGACCAGTTATCAAGCAAAACCATATTAATTTGCAGCTTGCAGAGCAGTAGAAACCTTGTGCTATAATAAACAAATATTCTTTACATTCTAAGGAAGCTCAGCTTCTAATTGCAAAGCTGGCATCTTGTATAGTCTCACTCTTAGCGGACATTGTAAGAAACACACAGAGAGGGGTGTCTGGACAGGTTTAACCCTTCAGGATTAAGTAACTTTTAAGAAAGGCCCTTCTCCTGTAGGACAGCAAGAACAGAGTTTCTGTAACTCACATCAAGGCATTGTTACTCTATATTTAGAATATGGTACCCCTTCCAGGACTTCCCTGTTTCATATCTCATTTCTGCGATCCAAGGCTGCCCACAGTGGCATCTGAGGCAAAGCACACTAGAGCATTGATGCTGATGTAATCAATGCAATCACCCATCGCTGTTAGAGATGGATTAAGAATTAAAGTCCCCCAATTAAAGGGTGAATGATTTTCCTGTCGCTTCTCTCTTCTGTCATATTGTTACAGGTGGTAAATGTTATCCTTGAATTACATTTCCCATCCTGCCGACCAACATAGCCACTGCTGAAGGATGATGGGAGTTGGAATCCCAACAACATCAGGAAGGCTACAGGTTGCCTGCCAATGTTATAGAGAAACGGTTAACGCCGCGATGCTACAAAGCAAATCGGAGTGCGATCCACACCCAGTTGAATCTTAAATGCAAACGTCCTGCGAATTTCAATGCAGCTGAGTTAGGATCTGTAACATGTACATACACGATCAGTGCAAACCATCTGGATTGTTACAAATGATTGTTCCTTGTAGTAATGCTCTTGTCTTAAAAATCTTTATCCCAGCCTGAAAGCTCGTCTGGTGGAACACCCTGCTCAGGCGGGTATCTGTCAAAGTAGCTGTAATCCATCGGACCTGAAAGCTAAAACAGAGTTGCGAGAGAAGAAAGTTTAAGGAAGATCTTAAAACAGGTATGGGAGTAGGAGTTAGGCTGATTTAGAAAGTAGAGAGGTTTTTTCCGAAGTATGCAAAGCTATTGTTCTAGATTGTTGTAGACAATGTAATATTAACATTAGGCTCCAGGATCAACTGCTAGATCTTTCATTTTTCCACATTCCCCCTTATTACTCTAGTCTAGCAGTGGCCTTTTCTTTTCTTTCTACTTTAATTTACTTTATTTTATATTTAGAAAATCCAGGACAAGGTAAGTCCACACAATGCACACCTGCCCCTCTTTCATGCAATTACTTATGTTTTCTGCCTATAGCCTATGAAACCAAGGCACAGTCTTTAAACTGTAAAATCTGTAGTGCAGGGCGTCACCTTTCTATGCTTATATCATGCCAGGTATCCTCTAGTTAGCCACTGCTGGAACCAGAAGCTGAGTCCAGACAGATCTATGAATGGACTCAACTAGGATCTTCTTATATATAGTCATCATGCATATAGATGCAGAAAGGTCACCTTGAAAGGCTCACTTCATAGAACAAGCCACGCTCATAGATCAAAACAGATTTGTCATTGGGGGTGTGCCTTTCAGATTTTGTTTTGGACTCCCATTCTCAGAATTCTCCAAGAATTCCTTAGGCAGAATTCTAGGACTTCCAGTCCTCAAATGCACACCTGCAGAAACCATCCTTTCACTCACCTGGACAAGGCTGAGGCCTCCTCCTAATCCATATTTCCTGCTGCCATGCTTCCTGGGAGGAAGCCACTGCAGTGATTCCTGGGGACGCTGGTTCTTCGGAAGCCACCCTCTATCCTTTATGATCTCATAAAGAGCAAGGAGACGATGACCTCCAGGAAGGATTGCAGCAGGAAATGAAGGACTAGAAGGGGCCTAGACTTTACCCGATTGAGTGAAATGAAGATGTCTGGAGTTAAGTGTTTGTGGGCTGAGAGACTCCTAGAATCCTGTCTGTGGAATTACTGAAGGATTCTGGGAGTTGGTACACCCCTACTTGTCAGACTTGACTCCCAGTCTACTTAGCTTGTGTCGTCAACAGTCAGGCATAATGAGAGTTGGATAATACTAGATATGGCCACAACGTACTTCATCATGCTTTGGCCCAATTTGTATGCATAGCACCACAAGTGCTGCATGTTCCCTCAGCACTCCCCTTCCAGCTGCCCCGCTCAGAAGCCTGTGCATGCTGTCCAGGTTGTCCCCCTCGGGTGGTTGCCCAGTCCAGGCAGGAATTTGGGCGTCCTTTCTCCACCTCCTCTGGCAGCCAGCCACTCAGACAAGGAGGTGGGATGGGTATCCTTGATGGTCAGCTGCTGGAGGAGGCGAGGAAGGAAAGCCCAGGCCCCTGCCCAGACTGGACAGCCACCCCAGAGGATGACCTAGCCAGCATGCAGATGATTGTGAGTGGGGCAGCCAGCACGGGGGTGGGGGAAGGGAATGTACAGGTCCTAAGTGTACGGGTCGGGCCGAAGAGCAATGAAGTGCTTCATGCGCATGTCTAGACAACACCTGAAGAGCTACATGTCATCTGGCTCTGGACTCAGCGATCCCTGACCCCTTTGTTCCTAAAACAAGATAACTTAACAGCAGCTCTTCCAAGTATTTAATGAAGGGAAATGTCATGGGCTTTTCCCTCCCAGCAGAACACAGATTTTATTATATGTGGGATCAGGACTCAAAGGAAGATCTGATTTGAGAATCTGCTTTCTAACTCCTCCCACCTTGGTTTCTAAGGTGGCTCCAGCTATGAAGTCAGAGCTACAGTCTCATAGAGGGGGGAAGAAGAGGTGTTTGGGTATGGCAGCAGGTGGGGAAGGAGAGTGTGTAGATCTACTGGATTCCCCCACATGGAGGGGGATTTAGATCAGCTCTGAACAAGCATGTCTGGCTCAGTACCTCTCTTTTCAACGGCGATGTTAGTTTCCGTGCCCTTAGTCCCTCCCAATTAAAACCGTTCAGCCACCTAAGAAGAAAAAAAAAAGATTGTTGAGGCTGGCTTCAGTAGTTATGGTATTTAAACATACTATCAGTGCGGAAAGTTTGAAGTCTCCGCCCCCCTTCAGATTTTAGCTCTTGTGCTGTGTTGAGTAACCTTTTTGCTACCAAGGGTAGCATTCACATGGAGCAATTTATTAGGGGATGCCTGCCTCCAGTTGGCTGTGCCACCCCCATTTCTCAGCCACCCTGATTCAAGCCCATCACAAAAATACAACAAATGTTACAGTCAGCAAAGGACAGAAGGGACCCCCTCATCACTGCAGGAGTATACCGGATACCTTGCAGCTGTGGCCAGGTATATATTGGAACCACAAAATGAAGCATCCACACCAGAATCAAAGAACATGAGAGACACTGCAGACTAAAACAACCAGAAAAATCTGCAGTAGCTGAACATGCCCTAAAACAAGCTGGACATGAAATTCTATTTCAAAATACTGAAATACCGGACAACACCAGTAATCATTACGTCAGACTGCACAGGGAAGCCATTGAAATCCACAAGCACCAGCAGAACTTCAACAAAAAAGAGGAAAGTGTGAAGCTCAACAAAACTTGGCTCCCAGCTCTCAAAAATACAATGTGCAAAAGGTCAACGAACTCTACCCACCCACAAGGACAGGGGATCACTACACACAAAATGACACCCATCAACCACAGGAACAGATAATCTCTTCTCCTTAGCACAACAATACACCCACAACAATACACACTAATCACCCATCTACAGAAAAAGACAAAAGTCTATCTCACAGCCATAAATACTGCACTCCCAAGCAAACTACACCAGAGTACAGGTTGCTGTCCTCTGAAGATGCTGGCCACAGAGACTGTCGAAACGTTAGGAAGAACAACCTTCAGAATACGGCCAAAGAGCCCAAAAAACCCAGAACAACCACCCTGATTTCTCTCTCCCTCTTTGTTTCTACCACTTTTTCCTCTCTTTTCCATCCTTTCTCACTCGCTGTGATCCTCTTCTTGATTCTGCCACCCTTTTCTCTGGCGGAGGTCCTATGGGCATAACAAACGTGTGCCTCGAAAATGGGAATCACCCATGATAGTGATATTTAATTTAACGTAATTGAAAGCTATCCCCCTGCGCCGCTTCAGTTTCCAAGGTCCTCTGGGTTCCTGTTTGCTTTAAGGAAGACTTCGGTAGCCTCGGGATGGAGACAAGGAGCCTTCAATACCCCAAAATCACGAATCACAGAGTGGAGACACTGATCCCAGAGCCAGCAGTGGCAATTCTTGGCTAATAAAGGGTCCTTCCACTCCCCTGCTTTGAGGCTTCCGATTGCTTCTGAAAGCTTCTGAAAGTTCCTCTTCTCCCTCATTCTCTCGCTTTCTCTTCCATCCTGTTATCTGTCTCTACCACTTATTTTCCCTGTATTTCTGTGCCACCCTTTCCTTTCTATGTCTCCAGCCCTTCTTTCTTTCTGCTGCCCTGCTTCTTTTTCTCCCTTTGCTAATCCCTTCTCTCTCTCTCTCTCTCTCACTACCTCTCTCTCCTCATTTTCACTGTTTTCTTTTGCCTGCTTTGTTTTTCCTCTCTTCACCACCCCTTCTCTCTCTCGGCACCACTGCCTTTTCTCTTTCTGCCATCCTGCTTTTTCCTCCATCTCCCTCCCTCCCACCTCAGTTCCCTTTTCTCTCCCACCTTCCCTTCCATGCAGCAGACTTTAGGAGAGGGGCCAACTAGTCTTGACAAAGAACTGGGGAATTCTATGTCCTCTAGACTCCATATAGCCAGAACCCTGGGTTGACCAGCCCCTTTTCTCTCCTTACCTGTGCCTCTTAATGTCATGGATTCCATTTTTCAGATTTCCTAATCTCTCAGTAGGATTTTGTCTAGAAATTAAACACAGAAACATTTATAATTGAGAAATATCCATCATCCATCATTTGATAGTAGTTGCAGGTGCAACTCAAGGAAATCACTGATCTAAGTCTGCTCAGCTTGTTCTCATTGAACAAGCCTGACCCATGTTTTAAGATCTGCCCTCCATCCCTGTGGTCCAAGCCATCAGGGGTATAAGATTGCTGAGAATCTAAAACAAGGACTGTGTTTTGACTACAGCCTGATTCTCGGTGAGGTGAAGAACTGTGTGGTTTGGGCTTTGTAAGAATGGAGTAGTCAGCTAGAACAGACCGAAGACCCACTTAGTTCACTCTTCTGTTCCCATACTGGCTAACAAGATCCTTTGGAGAAGAACCGCAAGTAGAATATTCCCCCAAAGGCAGCACCAGCAATGGAAATGGGCACTCATGTGCTCCATGCCCCTGGTCTGAAGCCGCCTCTGCAACATTTCAAGCCACCCTGAGTTAGAAAGCAACTTAAAAAAGCATAACGGGGGGCCCTCATGGCTGCAGAGCTGTGGCACTAACGTTCTTTGTCTTGCAGCTGTCTTGCGCACTCAGGACATAGAACAGACGCTTCCCATGGTCCATATGTAATATGAAAACTGCTGCAGGCTTGCAGTTAATTATAAAGCAAGAGGCTAACGGGATGAACACATGGGGGTTCGTTCAGGGCACTGAAGTGCTGATTCAGTGAATCTTGTTTGTTTGAAGTGTGGGAAACAGAACATCAAGAAAAGAAAAAGTGCCGCATTAGCTTTCGTGCATCCTTCGGCTGCAAGGGATGCCCCACCCTTGATCTTTTGGTTTTCCTGCCATTCTTGCCATTTCTTTTACAAAGGAATTCGAGGCAATGATTCCCTACAGGTCTTCCTGAAAGGCACAAACTAGACTCAGAGATTGCTTAGCTTAATAATAGTCATCATATGCTGTCGGTTCTGACTTATGGTGGCCCTTTTCAGGGTTGTCAGGTACAGAATGCTGTGAAGGGTTTACCATTCCCTTCTTCTGCGGGATGCCTTGGGACTGTGCAGCTGGACCCAGGCCACATAGGCTGGCTTTTCTCCCTGGTGGCCCAGTGGGAAATCAAACTCTCAACTACTGGCTCTGCAAGCCACATCCTTAAACCACTAAGCTATCCAGCCAGCTTAAGCAAGGGGTTATTGCCTCCTGCCATGTGAAATGCAAGAATGAGAATTCCAATTCACAGTCAGAACCAGGCGTTCCATGAAGACACACCTCCCTTGTATCATTAGCCACTCATCGCCCACAATTTCCAATCCAATTATACTTGTTTGCAAGACATGTCTTAAAATGGTTTCTAGTCTACTTCGTTGTTAAGTTCTCAGTTTGAAGTCTGTTGCCTAGCAACTTGCATAGAAATGAACACATAAGCTCAGAAAGATAGCGGATTATGGCAGAAATCACAGCGGCTTAAGATGAAGAAAAGATGCAAAGATACAGCAGGCTAAAACGAGGTATTATGTGGTCCACACTATATTCATTGAGTCAAAAAAAATCTTGTAGCACTTTGAAAGGCTTGGTTTTTAATTTAAATTTAACGTATCAATTTAGACAGACTAACCAAAAAGCACTACACAGATCCAAAGTTTACAACTAACTAGTTGCAAGTAATGTAGTTACCTGCAACTTATTAGTTTTTGATAACAAGGCTGTAACACAATTACATTTCCAAAGTTATGTAACGAGTAAGAATAAATTTACTTTGTTGGTATAATGCGTAAAATTTCCAGTTACATTTAGAAGTTATCTTTAAAGGTTATTTTAACACATTTCAAGGTAATTTTCTATGTTCTGTGTCATTTTCTTTTCAGTTCTAAACCTCTCTGTGTAACAGAAATAAATAAATAAATAAATGCAACAAGCAACACAGCAAGTTTCTTGTTCAAAATTGTAATGAGGGACAACAATGGATTACTTTCCAAACACCTCAACACAAGTAAAACAAAAAGTTACTTTCCAAAAGTGTTAGCAAAAGGCCGTGAGGACCTGAAGATTACACAAATGTAAGAGTGGGTGATACCTTTGTTGGACTGCGAAAAGTCATACAAATCGCAAACTTTTGTGCAAAAAAATACACTTCAGCAAGTAGCACCACCTTCAAGACAACTCCTGACACGTGGGCTCCTGACATCAGTCAGAGGTGACTACAGACTGAAGAAAAAAATCTGCTTATGCTCACCATAATTTGACATTAATTTGGCTTTAACTAGCATCTTCTACCTGGTGATTAAACCAAATTATAACTTCAACCCTTTGCTACAGGCTGTTTTCACAGCCCCACAGCTAAAAAGAAAGTTTCAGTTTCAGAAGCAGGTGATGTAGGTGTATTGGGGGGGCAGTCATCAAGGGCGGAAACTCAAGCCGTGGGACTGCCTGTCAGTTTGAACTTAAGTCAGACCAGTGACTTGACTTGGGTTTCTTTTTCAATGGCTCAGAATTAACTTGCCACTTGGAACCCATCCACCCCTCCCTTTTTTTGACTTGCGAACCTCTCTGGCAGTCATATTGTAATTACAAACCTTTTGGTCTTAAGAGCAAGGCAGAAAATTCTAACCATGCTGCAACGGATGGTGCTTGAAACTGTACGGGCACACACGCATGCGCGCGCGCGCACACACACACACACACACACACACACACACACACACGATGGACATTTGCAACCTGAGTTTGAAATGACCTCTTACACAGACACACACACACACACACACACACATACACGATGGACGTTTGCAACCTGAGTCTGAAATGACCTCTCCAAACAGACTTAGCACAGACATCTGCCATCAATTTGGGGGACTCTTATCTACAAATTGTCTCCACTCTCCGTAAAACGGTAGTACTTAGCCTGATGGAATTTTCTCCGCGAAAGTGTGAAATTTGTTTGATTTTTTAAGCGGTCCAGTAAAAACCTATCAACTGCTTTTACATTTCGTGTTTTCAAAAGTTACGTTCCAAACTCTGCACGAACCTATGCAAACTTCTTCAGGATTAAGCCTGAAGAGGGTCTAGCTGAAAGCAAAGCTTGGAAAATTATTTCCAAGAATGATACTCTCACTCCCAAAGCACCATCTTATTTTGACATTAGTTCTTAACGGCTTCATCATATGCCTGATATTCCTTCATTTTATGAACCATTTTCAGCTTTGCTTCTAAGAAAACATGTATGGGATTGTAGCATGAAATCATTGTCCTCACCATCAACACCACAACCATTTTCATGATCATTCCCATCATCATGTGTCTAGATCACAATAAGCGATGTGGGGGGGAACGACAGCCCAGATGGGGAGAATCTTACAATAATACTCTAATTTTTAAGGAATCAGAAGCATGAGGGCCAGAATCTTACTGTGCATTGATGGGGTTAATTAATAGGGTGTTGGTCATATGTCAGGATCACAATCAGGTATTGACTGGCACTTCATTAATTAACCTCAATTAGTCATGGCAGCTTCTGTGACAGTGCAAGATACGTGTAAAAAGGCAATTTTGGCCTACCTCTGTTTGTGTGAAACCATATATTGCTCCAGAGAATATAATGCTACTAAAGTATTCTTTTCATGCCTTTGCAACAGAATTGCTGTTCTCACCTGCAGAGTCGCCGAATCAAGTCTTCAGGCCGCTTTGTTATTATTCTGGGAAAATCCAGCCTTTCCACGCCTTTTAAAATCAAATTGTAGGTCATCATTTGATCAGTCCCAGAAAATGGAGGACTAGAGTAGATGCCGCAGTTTTGAGAAGTGAGTTTTTAAGGGAGAAGAAATGGTTGAGGGGAAGAGAGGATGACAGAGAAAGAGGGGGGGAGTTAAATGAAATGAGGCTGGTAACATAAAATAGGAAATTCTATTCTGGTCACAATCAAAATCCATAGGAAACTGCCTTCTACTACATCAGAATCACCGGGCATTGTCTACGCTTGGTTGCACGACCGCTCCATGCAACAAAAGTCTTTCTCAGTTCTTGAGATTTGATCTTTTCAACTGGAAATGCTAGGATTTAAATCTACATGAAAAGCATATGTCACTCAGCTCTTTTCCATTCCACCTATGGACATTTGCTCAGGTAGGGGATGGACCTTTATTTAGACAGGATTCAGAGTTTAGCAATGTTGAACCATAAATGGATATTGATCCTTAATAACAATATACGATTCTGCCCCATAAGGAGGCGGATCATTACTTCTTCCTGGCCCTGCCCAATTGCTCTAATTGCTTGTAACTCATGGAAAGTATGGAACCACAAGAGACAAGGCATTTTAAAACTCTTCAAGATTCCTTCACTCCAAATAGACACAAAACAGAGAGATTTCCCTCCTATTTAATGTCTGTGAAATCTGTGAAAAATGCTGTCCTTTCCCTTTGAGCAGCAAAGAGTGCACCCCCACCCATGCCTACACAATAAGCTAATTGTTAAAAAAAAGATACCACCACCCCATCCGCTGCTTCATATTCTTAAATAAAGCAGCAATTATCCTAATTTGGGGCAACTGAAAAATCATGCAACTTTTTCACAAAAATTGTGTGTGCATTTTTAAAAACACAAAACATTGTTTTTACTAGTGTGAGAATTCTACTGAAAATTCAAGACTTTTTTCAGTATCCTTGCCAATGAGAATATTTCTCTTCCTTCAAGCACAAAGTATTTCCTAGCCTTGCTACTTTTAACCAGAGATTTCAATTTACTGAAACCCACAGCCTTAACAAAGCAAGGTTTCTTCTTATTGAAGATTACTAAGCCACAGGAAAAGTCATCCGGGGCTGAAATGGATGATGAGCAGAGCCAGAACTCATGATGAATAAAGTTTGCAACTTTTATCTGTTTTGTACTATGTCTTCTCTATGTCTTGCACACACATAATGGAAGAGAAAATGATTCGCAGAAACACTGATCTGGACAGCTGAGTAAGTACACAGTGATAAATCCCGCTATTCATTCCAGATAGAACAGTTCTGTTGAATGAATGGCACTTCTGTAAGTCCCTTTAATTCAGTGGGTCCACTCTAAGATGAGATTAATAGTCAAGTTTAAGATGAGATTAATAGTCAAGTTTAACTGGTTGGCCAAAAATCCTGTTTGCACAGCCCTGCATATACAGCAGTGCTGACGTCATCATCAGTGGCAAGTTTCCACCAACTAAAGGTTTCCTTTGGGTAGGGGCAGATCTACTGTGAAATGAATGAAGCTTAAGTTTCAGGGCGCCTTATCCTGGTGGGGTCCCAGGATTGACTTCAATCCACCTTTTTTTGAAAATGTGTGATGATCCGTTGTGGAACAACCCCATGGAAGAAGATAACAGTGGTTACCTAGACCTCATTGCTGGTTGCAAAACAACAATTCAAACTCCAGGGGCTCCAAAATGTAGTTCTGCCAGTGCAATTAGAGATTTTTGGGTGCCCACGATTTTGCTGCATTGTGTATGAGACGTGAAATTCCCTCTAATCAGAGGTGGTTTGCCTATGATCATTGGCCATTTGTCACTACTGCCACGGCTGATGTCATCGCCATTAAACTTACAAAGCTGCACGACAGGATTTCAGCCACAGCGTCCAGATCAATGGCTAAGTTCCCCAGCCTATAACGGTCAGGCAAAAACCCACCGCCACCACGGAAAAAGTCTCTTTGTGAAATAAGATTTTTTTAAAAATGGAAAGAGAAGCACATACCTCCCCGTAAGTAGTTCGTAGACAAGAATTCCAAGAGACCAGAAGTCTACACTGAAATCATGGCCTTTGTTGAGAATGACTTCAGGTGCAACATATTCTGGGGTCCCACAAAATGTCCAAGTCTTTTGCCCAGCACCAATCTTCTTAGCAAACCCAAAGTCAACCTTATGTGAAGGAGAAGATATTATGATCAGACAGAAATATTCAAGCCTTGTTATTTTTCTTCCCAGCCTTTGGTTTCAAATGGGGATCATACTGTTCCATGTTCCTTCATTTCATGAAATCCTCTTTCTTTAGTAACAACAGCAGAGCTTGGACACTTTCCTTTTCTGACATACAACTGCCAGAATCCCCAAACTGGCATGGCCTATACCTAGGTTGGCTGGGGATGCTGGAAGTTGTAATCCTAAAAGGCACTAATTTCAGGCTTTTAAGAAGAGACATACAGTGATGCCTCGCTTAACGAGGATAATCCGTTTCAGCGAAATTGCTGTAGAGCGAAATCCTCGTTAAGCGAAATAAAAAATCCCATTGAAACACATTGAAAACCCATTCAATGCATTCCAATGGGCTGAAAACTCACCATCCAGTGAAGATCCTCCATAGGGTCAGCCATTTTTGGTGCCTGTATAGCGAGGAATCCGTCCAAAAACACAGCGGGGAGCCATTTTTTACACAGAGGTCCAAAAACACAGCAGGGAGCCATTTTTTACACAGCGGGTGGGCATTTTGAAGCCACCGATCAGCTGTTTTAAAATCATCGTAATGCGAAGAATCGGTTCCCGAAGCAGGGAACCGATCGTCACAAAGTGGATTTTACCTATTAAAACATTATTTTGCGATCGCTACCAACATGAATTTGACTCAACTTCGGGAGGCAGTGGAAGACAGGAGGGCCTGGCGTGCTCTGGTCCATGGGGTCACAAAGAGTCAGACACGACTAAACAACTAAACAACAACAACAAGCCCAACTACTGTCTGATGCCGTTTGGTTTGTCTGTCTTATGTCGACTAAACAACTAAACAACAACAAGCCCAACTACTGCCTGATGCCATTTGGTTTGTCTGTCTTATGCTCCTTTATTTGACTTGACTGGATCTTATTATGTTATGTCTTTATTGTTATTAGGAGCCTCGTGGCACAGTGGGTAAACTGCCGTACTGCAGCCAAAACGCTGCTCACTGCTAGGTTCAATCCTAGGTAGCCATCTCGAGGTTCACTCAACCTTCCATCCTTCCGAGGTTGGTAAACTGACTACCCAACTTGCTGGGGGTGGGGGCAATGTATAGCCTGCATGATTAAATTGTAAATCACCCAGAGAGTGCTTGAAGTGCTAAGGGGTAGTAAATACAAAGCACGTTTTGCTTTTTTGCTTTTTAATTGTTATATGATAGTATTTTTTTTAAAATTTGACTGCTGACCACTCAACAGTAGTTCCTTGAAGTCATGGGGTGGTATGGAAGTTTAATAAATAACTAAACAAACAAATACTCACTGTGTAGGTCGAATTCTCACTGGATTCTGCAACAAAACATGACTTCAAGGGGACTAAAATCAAAATCCCCATCCTGATGCATGAGGGTTGACTGTGGACACAGTACTGGATGAGAGGAAAAAATCCACTATGGCTATAAATATCTCTACAATTTAAAACCTTACCAGCTTTATATATCCTTGGGCATCCAAAATCAAATTTTCTGGCTTCAGGTCCCTGTAGATCACACTGATACTGTGCAAATATTCAATAGCTTCCGTCACACATGCAACACAGAACTTTGTAGTGGTGTCATCGAAGCTACCTCTGAAAGACAGCAACAGTTTTCCTTCGCTTTCTCTGATCATGGGTAGAAATATGTACAGCATGTTATGAGAGAAACTGGGTTTCTTAGGGTTGTAACCAGATGGAAGTATACTTTCCTACCTTCTCTGGAAAGGGAGGTTTAAGTGCACACCAAAGAAACTGGGTTGTTTGCAAATAAGCACAATGAAATGGGGCAGACTTCAAACACGAAAACGTTTGCAAACGATGCTGAATGCTAAACCCCAGTATTTTATGGTTGTTGTGGGTTTTTCGGGCTGTTTGGCCATGTTCTGAAGGTTTCACCAGTCTCTGTGGCCGGCATCTTCAGACAACAGGAGTCAAAATTCTCTCTGTGTTCTGGCACCCAGTATTTTAATTTATTTTTAATTTTTAAAGCGACTACACTTACAATTGTAATTTTATATGCATTTACTCAGGAAAAAAGCTCCGTTGTTTAATGGGAATCACTCCCAGGTAAATGTCTAAGGTTTATAATCCTAAATGATAAATGAGAACCCTCTTTCATAAAATGACTACATAATCCATATATTTTTAAAAATCATTTTAAAAAAAGCAGATCCACTGTGACAAAAGAAAGTATAACTCTTTCTCTCAGCCAGAAGCACATCTCAAACACCATAGAATCTAGATGCTTGAAATTTTATATGTGTACTTAGGAGACTTTAGTAGTGTACACCTTTTATTTGCAAAAAATACTGATTTTAAATGTCAATTCTGAAGCCTGCAGTTCCATCTTCAGTCACTAGATGGAAGACTGCCCTAGAAATCCAATGGTGTTCATCCAATACAATTTGAAGCTAGGGACAAGAATGTTAGGGCTTCTCCCTCCCAAATGCATTGGAGGAAACTTCCACTAACTAGCATAAACCTGGTAGCCCCCCAAGTGAGGCTGTTGGGCCACATCATGGCATCAGCCATGCTCAGAGGTCCCAGAAGTCACAGTTTTGTTCAGACTGGATGGGCTCAACATGTGCAAATCTGGGTGTTCCACAACCTTGCTTGAAGGTTTTGGTAGATCGATATGATGTCTGGTCTAAAATGTGCAAACTCGGGATTTCTTTTAGTAGATAATAAAATGACATTTCCAATAATCATTGTGCTTCATTCTTTAAGTTTCTGAAATGTAACATTATCTTATTCGTATAGCTGTGCTTGACACAGATAACAATATATTTCCAGATTTCAGCGAGGTAGCCTTGTTACTCTGTTTCAGCATACATAGTAAAAATAAAAGCAGGAGTGCTATGGCACTTTAAAGCCTAAAGGGTTTATTTCAGTGTGGGTTTTGGTACATTCCACTCTACTTCATCAGAGGCAACCCAGCACCACAGACAAGACAGGTGTCTGAAGAAGTGGACTTCACCATGAAGAATCACACTGAAATCAACCTTCTGTAGAAGTTTAAGAGCAACACAATAAGCAGGTCCAATCACTTCAACTGAATGTCTTAGGTAAAGGTAAAGGTTCCTCTTGACATTTAGTCCAGTCGTGTCCGACCCCAGGCCGCGGTGCTCATCTCTGTTTCCAAGCCATAGAGCCAGCGTTTGTCCGAAGACAGTTTCCGTGGTCACGTGGTCAGCGCGACTAGACACGGAACACCGTTACCTTCCCACCATGGTGGTACATATTTATCTGCTTACATTTTTACATGCTTTCGAACTGCTAGGTTGGCAGGAGCTGGGACGAGCGACAGGAGCTCACTCCGTTACGTGGATTTGATCTTATGATTGCTTGTCTTCTGACCTTGCAGCACAGAGGCTTCCGCGGTTTAACCCGCAGCGCCACCACGTCCCTATAAAATGTCTTAGGACCAGCATTTCCTTCCTTCCTTCCTTCCTTCCTTCCTTCCTTCCATCCTTCCTTCCTATTAGAACAGTGGTTCTTAACCTTGGGTTACTTAAGTGTTTTTGGACTGCAACTCCCAGAAGCCTTTATCACCAGCTCTGCTGGCTGGGGGTTCTGGGAGGTGCAGTTCAAAAACATCTGAGTAATCAAAATAAAACCAAAACGAGGGCTTTTTTAAAAAGAGAGAAAGAGTAATAATATTACCTGTCCCTGAGAATACTCCATAGTTCACCTCCAAGACAGGCTTCTAAGAGCATGTAAACATATTTGGTATCTTTGAAAGTGCGATAAAATCTGAAGGACAGCAAGGGAAAAAAACAGATTGCAAAAATCTAAACAATGCTGATTTAAAACTAAGATCTCTATGGCATAACAGTAATGCATAATTTTTAATTGTTTTATCTTTTTATCTTTTTATTGCATTTAATTTGTTGTAAGCCACCCAGAGACCTTCCAGAAATGTGGGTGGCATATAATACTGGCTCAGCACTGTGTTAAGCTTCAAATGTATTATCCAGTTCTAATTCTTACAGAAATTCTGTGAGGCAGTAGCGGGCAACTGCCAGACATTGATGGCTACTCTCCAACTCATGGCAGATGCAGCCAGACCTCACATTTTTAGATAGATAGATAGATAGATAGATAGATAGATAGATAGATAGATAGATAGATAGATAGATAGATAGATAGATAGATAGATAGATAGATAATACTGGCTCAGCGCTGTGTTCAGCTTCAAATGTATTATCTAGTTCTAATTCTTACAGAAATTCTGTGATGCAGCAGTGGGCAACTGCCAGATATAGATGGCTACTCTCCAAGTCATGGCAGCTGCAGACAGACCTCACATTTCTCAGTCCTCTCATGAAAAGTAACAGCGAAGTGACGGATCTTATGTCAATGATCCCGCTTTATTGCACAAAGTAAATATTTTGGAAATGAGTTACACAACTGTGTAAAAGGACAAATGATGACTCTAAGGAGCTACTTTATAGAAAGTTTTTACCCAGAGCAGAAGTGAGCTTTCTGATGAGGAGCTGTATATCATGCAAATTGGAAAACAATTAAAGCAATATCCAGGCGGTATCATTTTATACAACAGACATTAAAGGAAAATGTAAAACAGAAATCAAATTACTTCACTATGAATGGAGAACAGGCCTCTTCTAAAATTCTCTTTTCAGAATGAATGTGCTCCTGCTGTTTCGTATCCACAACGTGCTTCTTCTTAATGCATTTCATGGCAAATGTTACGTTTTCATTCTTAACTTTCACCTGTACTCACAAAAGAAAGGAAAGGAGACTCCCTGAGCACTTTCCACCTTTCTTGAATTTATTCAGAGTAAACAGAATAAAATTTAATGTGTTGGACTGTTGACATGACAGGGACATAGCGTGTTTGAATAACCTTGTTTTGTTGTGCACACAAAATGAGCTTTCTAGCATCCACAGAACATGAAACACACATAAACTGCTAGGGAAAACAAGAGGGCAAGGATTTAATGCCCTTACCCAGCATTCTTATCCCATCCATGTTACCAACTGGGATGTGAGAATATCACGGAAATACCATTGCATTTGGCGCAGTGTGAAGTTAGCACCCGAGGAACTTTATGCCGGGGCAGACCCCAATCCATGTCTGATTGTGCAACTGATTCTGCAACCAATTACATAACTACGCCTGCAGATCCCTTTGCTGGAAACGACTTTTGCCTTGGCCCAAATTTTGCAACTTCAAGTTTACACAGGCATAGCTACGCAAAAGGATTTTTTTTTCTTTGTGCATGCTAATTCATGCACTTTCTAAAAATGAACATTTTTGGTACACATTTCTCCCACTTTTATACCTTTTTCCTATTAACTCAAGGATGCTTTTGTGCCTTTTTCAAATTGTACACATTTTCAGCTCTGACTTTTTCAGATTCAGCTTTATGTACATCTTCATCAAAATGGATTTCAAGCTTCATTGCTGATGAACTGTGGAGATTCTCAGTCATCCAGGTGAGGTTATCTGGAAGTTGAATAATGGCCACTGGACTTCCTTCTTATTAGGTTGAAACATTTGACCACTCATCTGAGTAGCTCCTTCAGATGAATAAAGAAGCTGCTTAGATGAGTAGCAAAACATTTTAGCCTAATAAGAAAGAAGTCCAGCTGTCTTGACTCAACTTCCAGATTCATGATTGGATGTGTGAAATGGATGTACAGTAGGACCCTTTTGTCTGGGGGATCAGTATCCACTGATTGACTTGTCCACTGCTTGGAAAAACTAAATAAAAAGCCTCAGAAATAAGTATTTATATGTATTTCCAAAGCATATTTAACAGAACTGCTCACCAGAGGGAGCCAATGACCATGCAATATGCAGTGTTCAATACTTCCACATTTTCCGGCATCTGCAGGAAGCAGGGCTTAGAATTCACCCCCTGCAGATACTGCAGTCCTACTGTATCTATAAACATGAACCCAATACAAATGTTTTTCATCACTAACCATAACCGGCATGCCAGCCCAAATCTAACATGAGTGCTTGACAGCTGTACTAATGGAATGGAGGATGGGACATAGGGAGAGAATTGGGAAGAATCCTTGTTATTTACTGGAGTTGTTTTCATTGGATTAATATTATTTATATATACAGTGGGGTCTCTACTTAAGAACTTAATCCGTATTGAAAGGTGGTTCTCAAGTTGAAAAGTTCTTATGTTGAATCTGCATTTCCCATAGGAATGCATTGAAAACCATTTAATCTGTATCTGCTCTTTTCCGTCCATAGAAACTACAGTGGAACCTCTACTTAAGAACTTAATCCGTTTTGGAATGGTGTTCTTAAGTTGAAACGTTCTTAAGTTGAAGCAAAATTTCCCATAGGAATGGACTGAAAACCAATTAATCCGTTCTGGCTGTTTTTTTGTTATGTAGAGGTGCGTTCGTACATTGAAGCATTAGTTCCCATAGGAACTAATGCAAAGCTGGTTAATACGTACTCTACCACTAGGGGGAGAATTTTTTTTAACCTTAGATGACCTAAGGTTAAAAAAAGAGCAGGAAAGTTTTTTTTTTCCTGTTCTTATCTTGGATTTCTGTTCTCAAGTAGAAGCAAAATTTAGCAAATGGAGCTGTTCTTAAGTTGGATTGTTCTTAAGTAGAGACATTCTTAAGTAGAGACCCCACTGTAAACTAAAAAGATGGAGTGTTGATATCTTAGAACGCATTCCAATATTCACGCTGGCATGGCAACGTCATAGTCCTCCAGATAAAGAGCCAAAGTCAAAGGTTTGAAAGGCAAATTCTTACGAGCTCAACTCTTCCAAAGCCACCAACGCCCAAAGTCGCGACGATTTCCAGGTTCTGAAATGGGCAAGAGGAAGGGAACTGGGAGACTTGTTCTCTCAGCTGTATCATCTCCAAAGAGACAGCTCTGGATAACGGCTCCAAAGAAGACACTCTGCATTAAAAGGAATGAAATATCCTCGCTGATCAGTCTGGCCGAGCAGACAAGGAAAAACGATTGGAGCAGTCTGAGAACTTTTCTGAAAGAACTTCTGATATCTAGGCATGTTGGCTGGATGAACCCATACGCTCCCTTCCCCTCGCGAAAAGTCTCTTGTTCTCACCAAGAAGTTAAGAAAAGAGCACTCCAGGAAAAATGTGACCAAAATGTGATCTAGAGACATTCTAGATTTCTGCAAGTGCTGTCTCTTCAGCTTTTCATACCTTAGTGGAGACTATGTGCTACAGTCCTATTATCTTGCTGAACTACAGGATCATGGAAAGCTGTCTTATGACAAGCTATGGGTCCACTAATCTGTCTATCTGTCTGTCTGTCTGTCTGTCTGTCTGTCTGTTCATTTCTTCATTCATTCATTTATTTTTCTTTTCTTTCTTATATTTAAATACCGTTAGTGCATAGCACTACTCTGGGCAGTTAACAAGATAAGGATAAAACATCTAGAATGGAAATTAATATTAAAATAAACTAATGAGTAAAATAAAAAGAAGATACAACCAATAATAGAATTCTCTAAATCAATGGTCCCCAACCTTGGGCCTCCAGATGTTCTTGGACTACAACTTCCAGAAGCCTTCACCACACCTCTGCTGGATTTCTGGGAGTTGAAGTCCAAGAACATCTGGAGGCCCAAGGTTGGGAACCATTGCTCTAAATGCAGGGAACAGGACAGGAGGCATAAGGCCAGGCTGGATTGCATAAAGCAAAGTCTTCAGAAACCTTTTGAAGGCTAGGAGGGAGGTGGCCAGGTAGAGCTCTACCAGCAGCTGGTTCTTCTAAAGTGTAGGTGCCACTGTGAAAAAGGCCCAGTCCTTTAGGAATGATTTCCTGACCTCTCTTGGAGGAGCCACCTGGAGAACATGGCCTGACAGGATCTGGTAGGGGTGGGTAGTTGTCTATGTCAACTAGTAACCGTTTCCCATGGTTTCAGGCAGGTATTTTTCTCAGCTTTCCTGGGAGATGCCAGGAATTAACTTGATATTATCTGCAGGCAGACATGGGCACTGGTTCTAAGGTATGGCCCAATTCCTTCCACATCCCTGATCAGAGCTTGGAGGGGGAAAACATATGAAATAGTGCTAAGTTGCATCATCCTGCTCATTCTTTGCATCTGTGCAAGAACTGGGGGGGTTGAAGGAAGGACCTGGGCCAAATCAGCAAAGAAAATAATTGGTTATGGGAAAGTGGGAGATAGCAAAAACAATGAAAAAAAGGACTTGACAGGGGCACATTTTGCTCACTCCCAGGCTATAGGTATGCCCAATGAAGGTATACTATATCTGCCAAGGCAGAAAATAATGTATAGAGTTCATCATCCTTCAGAGGGGAATGGAGTTCAAAAACCTAAATGCAAGGAAAACCGGAACATTAATTTTTCCAATAACGTTTAAAGAGTTACCCCTCCCCCTCAGATGTCAAGATAAGGTAGAGATGAGCAGTAGCTGCTGCTTTCTACAGTTCTATTTAAAGCCTCTTTTTAAATGGCAACGTTTCAGGAGACATTAAATATTGATTGCATCCTTTCTGTTTGGATTCCTCGGGTCTGAAATGGTAATTTGTTTGACGAACAGTCAGCTGGTTTGACTGCATCTCTCAGTGGCCATTTTGCGAAATGAAACGAGGGTCAGAATGCCAACGGTAATACCTTCATCTTAAGCCTCATTCCTTTCACCTCGTTCCTGTTCCACATAAACGGTCATTTGGACTGCTCATTAACAGTCACATCAAATTAATATCTGTCATATTTTTATTGCTCTCATCTACTGTTACTCAGAATGGCGTCTGAGGAAGAGGACTTGATCCAACAAACCTCACATTAAAATACAGCAGTTTAGTCTTTAAGGTGTCTTCTTCATTTTAAATTTTTATTATTTTCTCTCCTCTTTTTTTTTGGCTTGAGGTGCTATTACTATGATTGACACCTCTGTTCCTGTATCTTTGACAGCACTCGAAAAAATAAAGCGTCAAAATTAAGTAATCACAACACTGTCGTAGCAGAGTCAATTTGGAAGCACTCCGGGTGCCCTTCAAAAAGTTTTTTGAAGGCAATACATGCAAAAAGAAGAAGATTCCCTCAAGATTTAAACACAGCAATATAACAACTATAAGCCAAACTAAGAATTCTGAAACAACATTATGGAAGATAACAGAAAGTAATATAGGAAAGCAAATGGCTGTTCCCAGATGGAGGCAGGCCACGCCATTTTAAAACAGCTGAAGAAGACTCAACACGAGGGCAAAAATTGCATCGTGTCAGGTTTCAACCCCTCTAACTTAGAGCTTCTTGTTATCCCACACGGCAAATGCAAAATAGAAAGCATTCATGCCGATGATAGGATGGGAACCTCTTGAAACATGAGGGATGGAGGAGGGAGAGAACATTGGATTGCAGCCACTGTGTCGGAAGGCTGGAAAATTGCCTCCATAGATGCTACAGTGCCACAGCTGATGTAGTGAAGCAATGTTGGACTGAAACATGTCATTGCTGAGCACCTCTCCAAGAAAACAGCGGAAAGCAAAAGACAAGAGCATATGCCCATGAAACAAAATATTTCAGTACTGTCAACTCTGTACTGCTTCAATGCCGAAATGCTGTAAAAGCTGCCAAGATCTGCAGGGCTGAGAAAGCCTGGGGGGGGGGGAAACATTGGCCCAAAATTTTTAACAATCAGTGTAAATACAGTCACCAAAACCAGAGGTGTGGCATCCTTTTAGGCATTGTTTAACAAGACTGCTGTTATCATGCAGAAGGGACCCTTGAGCTGTCGACCCTTAAACACAGTGCAGATGATGGTGCCTTCTATGCAGTTTCAAGAGTCAGCTGGAAGACTTACTGTGCATTCCTTTTTTCATCATCACGAGTCAGGGTAGCCACATAACCTGCGAGATAAGCCTGGAGTTCTTCAAAAGTCCCAACAGTTTGGTTGAAGGTTCTGCAGAAACAAAAAGAATGGACCAGAATGGCACATTTTGTCCAGAAACAAGGTCCACAGTATCTACAGTAGGACCACAGTAGCCGCGTGGGGATCAGTGCTAAGCCTCCCCCCTCAGTGGATGCCAGAACACACAGATATAGAAACCCTATACATAGCATACAGTATTGCCTTGACTTATGAACGTAATTGGTTCTGGAACTCCAGTTGTAACTTGAAATGGTTGTTAAGTCGAAGCACCATTTCCCATAGGAATGCACTGAAATGCAATTAATCCATTCTGGCTGAAGAAAAAAATCATCAAAACCCCCCAAACAAATCACTGCAAGACCCATCAGAAACGCGGTTAATCCATTCCAGCCGAAGGGAAAAAAAGAAAGAAAAGCAAACTGTGCAAGACCCTTCAGAAATGCAAAAAAAAAAAAGAGAGAAGCAAACAAACCATGCAAGACCCTTTGGAAATGCAAAAAAGCAAAGCAAAAAGCGAACAAACCGTGCAAGACCCATCGGAAATGCAAAAAAAGCAAAGCAGAAAGCAAACAAACGATGCAAGACCCATCAGAAATGCAAAAAAAGCAAAGCAGAAAGGAAACAAACCCCTCAAGACCCATTGGAAATGGCGGGAAAAAACCCAAAAAACAAACAAACTCTGCAAGACCCATCACAGCATAGAAACATAATCCCACCACTCAGTTCTGGAAATGTGTATTTCTGGGTTTTTTTATTTAATATTTTCAGGCAGTGAATAAGTGAAATGGGGGTTTTTTTATTTAATATTTTCAGGCAGTGGATAAGTGAAACGGCAGATATTGATCCTACAGATACAGTGGTCTTACTGCAATTTTTTTTCATTTGTTTTTCCAGGTACAAATACAACACAATATCCATATTGGTTTTCTGCTTAACCGATTTTGTGGTATATCTTTTTATTCAATAGATTTTATTTTATTTTTTACTGCAGACTAACTAAAGAACTTTAGCTGTTGGATAACAAATATCAAAATGCAAATGATGATGATAGCAGCAGCCAGCTATACAGTAACTAATAATTGTGTTTTTTTAAAAAAATTGAAAAACTTTCAATGCATTTTGCTTGACTTTTAACATGAAAGCTTCTATAAGTTTTTGCGTGAGACTGCATCAAGTTACACTAATTCACTGAAAAATCGGATAAATCCTCAAAGCATAAATATGATTACAGGCAATTATTGCTTGGTGGAGGCTTGCACTACTTGTGGCCCACCAAATGGAACTCATTAACTAAGCAGTGTCACCTGTCCAATACTTGATAAACCTTTTATTGTTTCGCTGTCTCAGGCTGAAACAAACAAGAGCCTTGGTGAGTATTTTAGAAGTGGAGCCTTCTGCAAATTTATTTATTTCAGATCACTCTCAAGCGGCCCTTCAATATAAGCCTCCCAAAGGGACACATAATCAATAAAAACATAAAAACAAAAACCAAGATAAAAAGCACAGAAACTGCAGCTATCGAAAAACCAATACAATCTACCAGAGTTCTAAAATTAAAATCCGTTCTGAAATATGCTGAAATACCAGGCCACTTTTAAAAAACAAGAAATCTTGGTACTGACTAGAAAACAAGGATGGCACCGGGAAAGCTTCCTTGCTAAGGGCAAGGTTGGTGAGTTCCATGTGTCCTTTTCTTCGTCCTGTTCATTCCTGAACCACTGCAGTAAAGTTCACATTTCAGGAACGTGCCTGATTTTCAGTAAACCTTCTTTAGCCAGCATGTGCCATTTCAAGGCAATTTAAATCTCTGAGGTTGCTCACAGGCTCCAGGTTAGAACGCCTTGTTCTTTTCTTAAAGATTCCCCCAGGTATCCCAGTGGAGTATTTATGGAAGGAGACAGCATCATAATTACTCGTCAACTTAATCACATAAAGTGCTTTTCCTTTTAGGATGCTGGGGAAATTTAGCTTGGGTAACTTATTTCTACAGTGTGATGGCCCTTCACCTTTTTTCGTAGCTGCAGGCTTCAACACAGGCTGTTGTTCAACTTGAAAAGTTACAAGTGGACCGGGCACAAAAAGTTTGGAGTGCCGTCAATCAAGTTGGCAACTGCAACGTTCTATGTCTCCCTTTCTTTGGCTCTGGCCCTCTTGTGGCCACGGAACAGTCTCACCTGGGTACCCCATTCCTTAGGGATTTGTTACCTGAACATTGTTTTTTATGTTTTCATTTTGTAGTTCTGCAAACCTCAGCTTCTGCCCCAGGATACTTTCAAACTCCACTGGCCAAAATCCGATCGAATATTTATGCAAGCCCACCAAGAACCAAGAACTTTGTCCTGCCTGATTCACAAGGTGCCAGATGTGCCACCTGGCATTAGTCAATCAACTATGGCAAATTTCATGATTCCACATACAGGCACATAATTATGCAATAGGATTCTGGCTATTTTTATGCCAATAAAGGTTATGACGATGATGATGATTCTGGCTATTCATTTTGAAATGTCAGTAACTTATATACTCTTGACTGGACTTAATGAGGCTTTTTGTGCCTGTGGGTTTTTTTTCCCCCACTGCCTGCAGCCAACATTTTGCAGTTACTTTTGCTGGAATGAGGATCCAGGACATGCAGCATGTGAGTGGCTGGAAGATGGGGAAATAAGCCAATAAATAGCCACGGTGTCTTTGCATCTTGATTCTTCTAACTTCCCAGAAGAACTGCTACTCTGAGTCTCTCCCTTATTTTTTCTTTCTTACTCTGAAGCCCCTTCCTGCTTCTTCCTGCTCCTCTTTTTTAAAGTGAGAAAACCAGGCAGAATTCAGCTCTGGGGGCTTCTGTAATACATTTAAAAACTCTTCCACACTAAATGGATTTTCTAGGACCTTGGAACTGTCGTAGATCACAAGCTGAATATGCAACAACAGTGTGATATGGCTTCAAAAAAGGCAAATGCTATTTTAGGCTGCATTAACAGTCTCCAAATTCTATAGGGTACTCATTTCCCTCTATTCAGCACTGGTTTAGCTTGATTACTTGAGACTCTTGAGAGTCCCCCGGACTGCAAGGAGAACAAACCTATCCATTTTGAAGGAAATCAACCCTGAGTGCTCACTGGAAGGACAGATCCTGAAACTGAGCCTCCAATACTTTGGTCATCTCATGAGAAGAGAAGACTCTCTGGAAAAGTCCCTGATGTTGGGAAAGTGTGAAGGCAAGAGGAGAAGGAGGATGACAGAGGACGAGATGGTTGGACAGGGTCACTGAAACCACCAACACGAATTTGACCAAACTCTTGGAGGCAGTGGAAGGCAGGAGGGCCTGGCTTGCTCTGGTCCATGGGGTCACAAAGAGTTGGACACAACTTAATGACTAAACAACAACAAATTGTGCCCACTTCTGGACACCACACTTCAAGAAGGATGCTGACAAATTGAAACATTTCCAGAGGAGGGCAACGAGAATGATCAGGGAGCTGGAAACCAGGCCTTGTGAGGAAAGGTGGAAAGAATTCGGCATGTTTAGCCTTTAGGAAAAAAAGACAAGAGGGGTGATAGGAAAACACTTTTCAAATACTTGAAAGGTAGTCATTCAGAGGAGAGACAGGATCTGTTCTCAATCATTTCAGAGTGCAGGACACACAACCATGGGCTCAAGTTACAGGAAGCCAGATTTCTGTTGAATATCAGGAAAAACATCCTAAATGTTAGAGCAGTACAGCAGTGGAACCAATGACCTCGAGAGCTGGTGAGAGCACCAACACCGGAGGCATTCAAGAGAGATTTAGATACATTCAGAGGAGAGACAGGATCTGTTCTCAATCATTTCAGAGTGCAGGACACACAACCATGGGCTCAAGTTACAGGAAGCCAGATTTCTGTTGAATATCAGGAAAAACATCCTAAATGTTAGAGCAGTACAGCAGTGGAACCAATGACCTCGAGAGCTGGTGAGTGCACCAACACCGGAGGCATTCAAGAGATATTTAGATATCTACCTGGTGGCTATCCTTTGATCTGTATTCCTGCATTAAGCAGGAGGTTGGACTTCATGACCTTATAGGCCCCTTCCAACTTCATGATTCTATGATTCTATGATTCTGCATAACAAGTGTTCCTTCTTGCCTAATTCGAGTTCCCAAACTGGCTATTGGTTATTTGCTTCAATAGTTACAAGCTTAGGTCAAGGCCCTCGTACTCTGCTACTAAATGCCAAGGGCCAAATCAATGGATAATGCCAATTAGAGTGGGCCCGTTGAATCAATGGGACTTACATAAATGTTGACCTACAAAAGTCCCATGGATTCAGCAGGTCTATTGCAGCTGGAACAAACAATTTGATTTTGTCCCCAATAATCCTAATAACAGTTTGCTGGGGAATCACAGGAAAGGCAGTTACAAAACCAGGTTTTTGAAGCTCATTATAGCTTATAATCCCAAGGCTCATGGAACTCTTCTGCATGACCTAGCTAGATCCACAATTACTAATACTCTGAAAAGATGTGTCATAGTAGCAAATATGAATATACCGTATTTTTCGCTCCATAAGATGCACCTTTCCATAAGATGCACCAATTTTTAGGAGAAGAAAACAGGAAAATATAATCTGTTTTCTTTGCTCCATAAGACGCACAGACTTTCCACCCCCCTGTTTTGTGGGGGGAAAGTGCGGCTTATGGTGCGAAAAATACGGTACCTTGAGCCTGCATATTGTAAAATGCACCTTGCCTTCTAGGAAGCAGTGGTTACAGGAATTAAAAAAAAAACCCCTATTGATATAGACTATAAATGCATACTTGAAGAATTGCAGGAACAAAGGCAGCAAAATATAAAATTATTACTTACTCTCTATCTATTACAAGACATTCCACATCATTTTCATCTGCAATTATATTAGCTGATCTAACATCATCACTGTAAAGCAAAAAAAGATGAAAACACTGTATTAACACACCGCTTTAACACAAATAGGAACTTTAAGATGCCACATATTAAATGTTGTTCTGTATGAAACCAATGTCTTCTCAGTAAAAATTACTAAACAAGTCATAGCAACCTACAACAAGAATGTTTTAAGTACACTACTGGAACCAAGAAATGTCCCAAGATTAAGAGTATGTTCCTACACATGATTACTTAGAAGTAAGTTTCATTGCCTTCAACTGTTGTATATTCCAGTGGTCCCCAACCTTTTTGGGACCGCGGACTGCTTGGGGGGGCAGGCTCCATATACGGGGAGGGGGAACCCATGCGCTTGTGTGTGGGTGTGTTGCACTCACACGGATGCGAGTGCGACACGCCCCTGTACAAGCATGACACATACACACCCGTGTGAGCGCAACACGCCCACCGGGTGGGTGGGCAGGAGGGCAGCCCAGTTCTGGCAAGCCCACAGACCAGCACGGGCCACGGACCCCTGCTATATACCGTTATCTGGGGGAATGCTCTACTGAGTATAATAAGACTTACTTAATAAGCATTTAATGAAGTACACTGTTTTTAAACAACCAGCTTGTCAATAGTTGCAGTAAGATTTTATAGCATCAAACTAAAGAGCTAAGCAGATATCCATTTTCAGCTAGAAAGCCAATGAAACAGAAGAAGGATACGAAAATATGGTGGTTTTGTGTGTGCCAAATATAACATCTGGCAAAATTTGGATCCTAACATTGTGACTATTGCCACTGTCTGCTAGGCAAATGACAAGTTCTGCTCTGATCAAAAGGACATCAGTACCTAATAACTATTTCATCATCCCACTCAAATGTTGTTGTCATTAAATGTGCCCCCTGTGTTATCTCAATGGTTTTAAATAAAGATGGGCACAAACTTGGGAAATGGTGGTTCGTGATGGTTCGTGGCTAACAATGAACCACAAACCAACTGCAAAACCGAACCAGTTGGTGGTTCAGGTTACTTTGGGTCATCAATGCATAGGGAACTATGTTTGGTCAATCCAATTTTGTGAAACCTTCCAGAATCAGGGTGGCCACATGCAATTGAGCATCTTTTAAAAAACCCAGAAGACCAGTCTGAGATACAGAAAATTCACTCAATCACATGGAAAGAGCAACAGTAGCATGGCTATTAATTTTTTTTAGTTATGCAACCTAGATATATTCCCAAATTTATGTTGCTTAGCACGGCCATCATTATTAGAGTTGACCCACTGAAGCAAGGGAACATACTGTATAGCCGCCTAGAGTGGTCTTAACTGACCAGATAGGCGGGATATAAATAAAATAAATAAAATAAAATAAATATAGGGGAACTGACCTACCACATGCCCACAGATGCAGTGGACCTCCTGTAGTTATGACTTAGTACACCGAGCAACAGGATTGCAGTCAGGATCCATCATCACAAAATATTTCATCATTTCCCCCTTGAATTTGGTTCGCACCTGTATTCCCACTTTCCGCTCCACTCCTGGATTTCCCAGTTATCAGACTTAAACCACATGCGCACCTATGCAGGCATACACATGCACACACAGGTCTGTAAACCAACAGTAGTTTTGAACTAACCTGACCAGGGCCTTTTCCCCAAAGTAATCTCCTCTCTGCAATGTTTTAATCAACTGAGGTTGTGACTGCCCTTCTGAGGTCTGGGTAACCTTGACCTGGAAAATGGAGAGTTACAGGTCACTTGTGCAACAGAAAAATATGAAACCTAGTTGTTCTGTTTGGTTTATTGCTCATACAATTCATCCTCCTTTTAAAAAAAAGCAACCAAGTAGTATAAGCTAGAGTCAGCAAAGTGCAAATTGTTATCAGGTATTGTTGTTGGTAGTATGTTCCATTGAGTTGCCTCTAACTTATAGTGACTCTATGAAACAGTCATCTCCAAAATGTCATGCCCTCAACAGACCAGCTCAGTTCCTGTAGACTCATGCCTGTGGCTTCCTTTAGGAAATCAGTCCATCTCATATTGGGTCTTCCTCTTCTCCTGCTGCCTTCCACCTTTCCTAGCATGATTGTCTTTTTCCAGAGAATCCTGTCTTCTCATGATGTGCCCAAAGCAAGACAGTGTCAGCTGCAACATTTTTCCATCCAGAGACAGTTGAGGCTTGACTTGCTTTAGGACCTGATTGTTCATTTTCCTGGCAGTTCAAGGCATCTACAAAGCTCTTTGCTAGCACCACACTACAAATCAGGGTAAATTATGCAAGTAAAATGGCCTGCCGAATCCAGATGGTCACTTTAAAATGCTTGAAGAAAGCACTTGCATCTGCCAAGGATGGGGACTCAAGTCGCGGTACTGGCTGTTAAGTCAGACTTAAGCTGCACCAGTGACTCAGATTCAATTTGGTGTTTTATTTTATCCAATGACTTGAACTGGACTCATGACTCAGAACCCATCCACCCCTCCCTTTCGGGGAGGGGACTCAGACATGGGGCTTGGGACTTGATACCAAAGACTCAGACTTCAGACTTAGACACAAAGACCTTCCATTGTCCCTGGGATTTGCATGAAAACATGTGGCCTCTGCAAATGTTCCATGCAATCCATCAAGGTATTCCATGCACATGAACTCCAACACACACATTTGTTTCAATGGACAACAGTGAAGAGTGCTGTTGGTTCGTCCCCCCCCCGGTTCTCAGGAGGAAGTTTTAGGGTATACAGGGGAGCTGGAGAGCTTCCCAATGGCATCTGGTTGACCACTGCTTAGGGTTGCCAGATGTCAGGCAAAAGGAGGACATGTCCTCCTTTTTAGCCTAATGTCCTCCGTCAGGCAGGCAAAGATAAAAACCTTTAAAATGTCAGGCTTTTGTACATTTTATGTCCCCCCCCCGGTTCTCAGGAGGAAGTTTTAGGGTATACAGGGGAGCTGGAGAGCTTCCCAATGGCATCTGGTTGACCACTGCTTAGGGTTGCCAGATGTCAGGCAAAAGGAGGACATGTCCTCCTTTTTAGCCTAATGTCCTCCGTCAGGCAGGCAAAGATAAAAACCTTTAAAATGTCAGGCTTTTGTACATTTTATGTTATAATTTTGGATAGGAGGGGAAGAGGTGGAAGGACCCCCTTCTCCATCATTATTAGAGTTGACCCACTGAAGCAAGGGAACATACTGTATAGCCGCCTAGAGTGGTCTTAACTGACCAGATAGGCGGGATATAAATAAAATAAATAAAATAAAATAAATATAGGGGAACTGACCTACCACATGCCCACAGATGCAGTGGACCTCCTGTAGTTATGACTTAGTACACCGAGCAACAGGATTGCAGTCAGGATCCATCATCACAAAATATTTCATCATTTCCCCCTTGAATTTGGTTCGCACCTGTATTCCCACTTTCCGCTCCACTCCTGGATTTCCCAGTTATCAGACTTAAACCACATGCGCACCTATGCAGGCATACACATGCACACACAGGTCTGTAAACCAACAGTAGTTTTGAACTAACCTGACCAGGGCCTTTTCCCCAAAGTAATCTCCTCTCTGCAATGTTTTAATCAACTGAGGTTGTGACTGCCCTTCTGAGGTCTGGGTAACCTTGACCTGGAAGATGGAGAGTTACAGGTCGCTTGTGCAACAGGAAAATATGAAACCTAGTTGTTCTGTTGGGTTTATTGCTCATACAATTCATCCTCATTTTTTAAAAAAGCAATCAAGGAGTATAAGCTGGAGTCAGCAAAGTGCAGATTGTTATCAGGGATTTTTGGTGATGGTATGTTCCATCGAGTTGCCTCCGACTATGAAAGAGTCATCTCCAGAATGCCCTGCTCTCAACAGACCAGCTCAGTTCTTGTAGACTCATGCCTGTGGCTTCCTTTAGGAAATCAGTCCATCTCATATTGGGTCTTCCTCTTCTCCTGCTGCCTTCCACCTTTCCTAGCATGATTGTCTTTTTCCTGAGAATCCTGTCTTCTCATGATGTGCCCAAAGCAAGACAGTGTCAGCTGCAACATTTTTCCATCCAGAGACAGTTGAGGCTTGACTTGCTTTAGGACCTGATTGTTCATTTTCCTGGCAGTTCAAGGCATCTACAAAGCTCTTTGCTAGCACCACACTACAAATCAGGGTAAATTATGCAAGTAAAATGGCCTGCCGAATCCAGATGATCACTTTAAAATGCTTGAAGAAAGCACTTGCATCTGCCAAGGATGGGGACTCAAGTCGTGGTACTGGCTGTTAAGTCAGACTTAAGCTGCACTAGTGACTCAGATTCAACTTGGTGTTCTATTTTTTCCAGTGACTTGGACTGGACTCAAGACTCAGAACCCACCCACCCCCTCCCTTTCGGGGAGGGGACTCAGACATGGGACTTGGGACTTGGGACTTGATACCTAAGACTCAGACTTCAGACTTAGACACAAAGACCTTCCATCGTTCCTGGGATTTGCGTGAAAACGTGTGGCCTCTGCAAATGTTCCATGTAATCCATCAAAGTATTCCATGCAGATGAACTCCAACACATGTATTTGTTTCAATGGACAACAGTGAAGAGGCGTGAACTTCTGTTTGGTGAGCCAAACTCTTTGACGAAATGATCGGGGCTCTCAACATAAGCCCAAACCTACTTTGTCCAACCCAATTTGTGATTGCTCCTCTCCGCACTTTCCAAATATTTATCCTTGCCAAGAGCACTTTGCAGAGCGATTGATGCATAAAGTTGTCTAAAGAGTAGTCCAAAACCTGCTGTAGGTCTTTCCCCGTCCCCCCCCCGGTTCTCAGGAGGAAGTTTTAGGGTATACAGGGTTGCTGGAGAGCTTCTCAATGGTATCTGGCTGACCACTGCTTAGGGTTGCCAGATGTCAGGCAAAAGGAGGACATGTCCTCCTTTTTAGCCTAATGTCCTCCGTCAGGCAGGCAAAGATAAAAACCTTTAAAATGTCAGGCTCTCCTTTTAGTACCCGTGTATCTGGCAACCCTACCACTACTGGATGAACTCTGCACTCCAAACATGATGGATTGTTGATCTGATAGATGAAGTCCCTTCTAATGTCTAAAAAAACCGCATTCCGCTGTTTTAAGATTAGGAATTCTCTTCTCTGTTTCATAAATAGAGATGATCACAACCCATTGGTTCAGTGGTTCGTGCCAGTTCATTTAGTGGCTGAACAGGTGTTTGGTGCTTCCCAGCCCTGCCTCCCCTGGGACACTGCCTCTAAAGGGGCACCTGTCAGAGGAGGCAGGACTAGGAAGTGCCGGACACCTATTCCACTAATAAACAAACAGCACAAACCATCAAACCTGCAGTTCGTAGCCCTCTCTATTTGTAAACTGTCTTGGAAAAGGGCAGCTTATTCTGCCAGGGCCAGATTTTTTTCTCCCCTTGTTGTTCCAGATTAAGTGAAGAAAGAGTCTGAGAATCACCCACAAAGACTGATTACTGCTGATGCATGTCCTCTTGCCTTGTGTAAGGAGGCTACAGGAGTGTTTATTTCTCGAGCTTGGCAAGCGGCAAAGCACCATCTGTCTCCATTCCCGCATGATTGCTGATTTGTTTGTTCTCCAATAGTTAACACATAAATGTTTTTTGATTAAGTCTCTTCGCCCTCTGCATTGAAAAATGGAGAAAATATTTCTTTCTGGCTTAAAAAAACCCAACACATACACACAAAAAAACGAGGCAGCTTCTGAAGACTTCGGCTGGGATCCAGAGAGTTATTTTGGGCATGATTAAAGTTCTTAAACACATCCAGTGGGATCCAGACTTTCTTTTTTAAAACTGGTATGTGCAAAAGGCAGGTTGCAGCCCAATGCAACTCGGGCGGGGGGGGGGAAGCTGTGTGAACACTGGGGTAACTCTCAACCTCCCCCCCCCATGAACCCAACCCTTATTTAGATCTTATTTTGCCCTTCAGGCCTTAAAAAAAACTTCGAAATGATGTCTGGGCACTTCCTGTTTGTGGGAAAAAGTCTAGAACCCTCCACAGAAGGATGATTGGTTTGATAGATAGATAGATAGATAGATAGATAGATAGATAGATAGATAGATAGATAGATAGATAGATAGATAGATAGATAGATAGATAGATAGATAGATAGATAAACCCTCCACAGAAGGATGAGTAGATAGATAGATAGATAGATAGATAGATAGATAGATAGATAGATAGATAGATAGATAGATAGATAGATAGATAGATAGATAGATAGATAGATAGATAGATAGATAGATAGATAGATAGATAGATAAATAGATAAATAGATCCGAAGATGTAACAGTCTTTTTTTGTTTATATATATATATATAAGCAAATATATATATTTATCTATTTATATTCATATTGCACCCCCATATGGCTCTGGAGAATGTGGTTTGCATTCTCCCCATAATGTCAGAGTGCTTTCAAGGGCAATGGGGTTCAGAGAGCACATAGCCCATCAAGACTCAGAAGAAAGCAAAAAATAAAAATAAAAAAAGACTGTGACATCTCTGGAGACTGGTCAGGAGACAGGGATGAAGACATGGGGTTCCAGGTGTTGTTGAACTGCAGTTCCCATGAGCCCCAGCTACTATACTCAACACTATACTCCCAATTAATTGTGAACCACCCTGAGTAGACTCCTGTCTAGAAGGGCGGGATAAAAACCCAATAATAAATAAAATAAATAAATAAAATAAGAGATGAGAGGACCTGATGGGCAACAACATCTGGAAGACCACATGTTCTGCAACTCTGAAGTATACCTACTCACTACCACCGTGCTGTATCAAAACTACTTTTTGAAATCTGGTGACATTGTTTCGTTGAATTCTATATCGGTGGTTCCCAATCTTGGGTGACCAGATGTTCTTGGGCTGCAACTCCCAGAAATCCTGACTAGCCCAGCTAGCAGTGAAGACTTCTGGGAGTTTTCATCCAAGAACATCTGGAGACCCCCAGTTTGGGAACCACTGTTCTATATGATGGCAGCACAAGCCTACCCTTTTTTTAAAGAGCCACGTAGCTCTCAGCAGATCAAACCATCAAAATAAAAGAAATGAGTGGCAACAGCATCTCTCTCAGACTTCTCTGAGAGAATCTTCCTCCGAGATTTTCATAAATAGACTTTTTCCTTTGAGGAACACACTCCTCTGGCCATACTGTGCATGCCAACATATGTCTGGCATGTTCAACCTTTCACACGGCCCCTTTCAACCCTCCTGAAAGCATTGCTTTGGCACAGCTTTGAAATGAGGATGGGGCAGAATTTACGGCAATGGAAAACCAAATGCGAAGTGGATGCCATAAGCATAGGGAGGGCATTAGGATCTTGATAATGTGATTTCTTTGTAGTAGAGGTAAAGTACTGGTATCACCAATTTGGCAACCACTAAACTTGTGCCAGGGAAGAGGAAGGGATGCGTGGTTCTTAAGAAAGGAGAAGAGGACCACGAGAAAGGAGAGCAGACAGAAGGAATGGAGGAAGAAGGAAGACGAGAAAACAGTGCATGGAGTTTATGGATGTAGGTTGCAAAAAACAGCTACAAACTTGCACACAGTGCATAATAAAAGGGGGAAAGAGGCAGCTCTGGAACAGCCCTTAAATGTTCAGAGGTTGAGTAATTCCTAATGATTCTACATCTTCAGTATAGTACCTGTGAGGTACAAGTGCCCCACTATTCACCACTGGTTAGGCCTCATCTAGAATACCGTGTCTTGTTCTGGACACCACACTTTAAGAAGGATACTAACAAACTGCAGTGAATTCAGAGAAGGGAAGATCAGGGGGCTGGAAACCTGGCCCTATGAGGAAAGACCGAAAGAACTGGGCATGTTTAGCCTTGAGAAAAGAAGACTGAGAGGAGATGGGACTTGAAAGGCAATCCTGCAGAAAAGGGGCAGGATATGTTCTTGATCATCCCAGAATGCAGGACACATAATAATAGGCTCAATCTACAGGAAGCCAGATTTAGGCTGAATATCAGGAAAAACACTTCTTAGCTGTTAGAGCAGTATGCGGTGAGTGCTCAAACACTGGAGCATTCAAGAAAAAAAATGGGACAGCCATCTGTCAGATCTGCTTTGATTTGTATTCACTGCATTAAGTAGGGGGTTGGACTCAATGGCCTTAGAGGCCCCTTCCAACTCAATTATTCCATGATTCTGTGACTGTGCACATTCTTGAATCAGCAAATCAGTTGTTTATTGGGACCGTGTATTATAGATTCCATGGTGTGCCCAGCCTCAAGGATAATAAATGGAGGCAACACAGCTTCGCTGACAGCTCCTTTAGCAAACAGAGTCATACATTTTTCCTGGTTTCTTACCTTCCCTTTGGCTATAACAAAAAAGGTGCTTCCTTCCTCTCCCTCACGGATAACATAATCGCCTTTGTCATAGTATTCCTATAGGGAAAAAAGAAAGCAGATTATAAGAGAATGTAGTGAGGCGCTTCTGCATTTGCATGGACCTCAAATAAAATTTTACAGCACATTATCTAACATGTTAAACTTTAAAAGAGATAATTATTTAAATGTATACCAAACCTGCAGTACAGACTCAGATCAAAACGCTGCATTATTCATTCTGCTTAAATGCAGGTGGACTGAAATGTACACCTTGAACAAAGGATTATTTCAGTGTTATGTAATGACCAACCTTGCCTGCAGACTTTCTACATTCGGATTGTAGACAGCTTCTGAACAGAAGAAAATAATTCAATTTTTTTTTTAAAAAAAAATCCAAGGCTGAAAAAGCTGGAACTGTTGAAATAGAGAGAAAGGAAACAAGGATATCCTAGCTGCTATTATTCTGGGTTCTGCCTGGAGTTTAGAAAGTTATTTTTAAAAGTAAATGGTTGAGTTATAGTTCTGAGGCCTAACAAATAGTTGGCTGTAATTATATTTATGATTCCTGAAAGATGGAATCTAAATGTGTTAAATGTGCAGGCGTGCAGTAATAGTCTCCATGCTGAGAGCTAATTTTTCTGGGTTAGTCAAAAAGAGGTTTGGCATGTTTGCAAGACAGATTTCTGTGTATAACTTGAAATGCATGAAGATCAAACCTCTGGCCACAACAGCTACCTTATTGCGTGGATTTTTATCAATAAGTGTTGTTTACACTTCTGTAAGCAATCTTCTTGCCCTTTTGTACTTACTCTGTGTGTCTCTGAGTGAGTAAGTGAGTGAGTGAGATCAACCAGAGATGAAATGAGACATTGGTGAATATTGGAGATGGACACAAATCAGAAAAATTGTGACTGGTTTGATTTGTGATTGATGTCTACATTGGCTTGGGTATGTTGTGAGAATGGCTGATGGTCAGATTCCAAAAGATCTTCTATATGGAGAATTAGTGCAGGGAAATTGCCCCATAGGGAGACCACAGCTGTGATACAAGGAGATCTGCAAGCGGGATCTGAAGGCCTTAGGAATGGACCTCCACAGATGGGAAACCTTGACCTCTGAGCATTCAGCCTGGAGGCAGGCGGTGCATCAGGCCTCTCCCAATTTGAAGAGATCCTTGTCCAGCAGGCTGAGGCAAAGAGGCAGTCCCGAAAGCAGCAAAATCAGGGCGCTGGACAGGGGACAGATTGGATTTGTCTTCAGTGTGGAAGAGATTGTCACTCTCGAATTGGCTTCCTCACACTCAACGCTGTTCCAAGACCTCTATACAGAGCACGTTACCATAGTCTCTCGAGACTGAAGGATGCCTAATCTAAATCAATTTATCAATTCAATTTTGCCTTTAAAACCCTATGAAACACTTCCCCAGGCACCTAGACAAACCAAAATTGCAGGGAAATGTCTGCTGGCTCCCCTCTACAATTTCTCCAAGATTGGTGAAGATTGGATTTCATAAATCTGAGTTATACACTCATAAGGCGGAACCCCAAGGAAAGTTCTCCCTAGAAACCCAGAGACACCAATATCACAGAGAAGTTTCCCCTGGTTCTCTTCTACAATCCCTCTAAGTTTGGTGAAGACAAATTATATACCCATAAAGTGCCCCCCCTCAAGAAAGTGCCCTTTAGCAGCTGGCTTGGCAAAACCCAATCTTCACCAAACAGAGATACTATATTGTAAAGGAGAGTTACAGGAAGATGCTTTGTGATTCTGGTGTCTTTAGGTGCCGGGTGTGTGTGCGGACTTTCCTGGTGGGGGTCTCTTTGTGGGTCTATAACTTGGACACCCAAAACCCAATCTTCGTCACTTGGAGGGATTCTAGAGGAGAGTCAGAGGAAGCTTCTCTGCAATTTTGGTATCTCTAGGTGCCTGGGGGACTGCTTTATGGCCCAATAAATAAAAAAAAATGCTAAAAAATTTATTGATTTGCATATATTGGGGGCATTGATTCGTACAAATATGAATCGGCGAGTTTGTAATTTTTGAATGACTGTGGTGATTTGCTTTTTTTATTTCATGCACATCTCTTGTGAATATTCTTCACCTTCCCATTTAAAGTTACTCAATAGCCATTTTAGCACCCAAGCAAAGGAACAGCAACCACAAGAAAGCACAGCCCCTTAAAGGATCCTGTGACTAAGAAAATGGTCTTTAAGCTCCTGGAGTTTGCCCACCTCCAGACTTGCACTAGCTCTTTAAGGGGCTGTGAGTGGGTTTTTCTCCCCACTGTGCTATTGCCCCTAGGATGCTCCATGTGCATGGCAGGTGCTCTACCACTGACCTACACCACCTCCCTTAAAAAAGAGAGGAGGACCCAGAGACGGCCTCCCATGGAAGTAACGATAATAACCCTGCAGCCTTGGCATTTCTTGCAGTATCCTCTGGACAGCGAAGCTAGTCAGAGTTTTCTCAGATCTTGTGCTGTGACGTTGAGCAAGGGTTAGAGCTCAGAGAACAGGGGCAGCCTTTGCAAGCTAAAGACCCCTTGATCCTGCCAAAGGTCCCGGGTTCAATCCTGGAAATAGGGAAGGAAGACTGAGACCGAATTTCTTGTCTGAAATCTTCGAGAGCCACTGCATGGGCAATAAAAGAGCTAACAAACCCTAAGAGTCTGACTCAATATACAGAAGCTTGCTGGGTTCTTGGTACCCTTAGAAACATTGCACCCCCTACCCATTGCTTGGGTAACTGCTTATGTAGTCAAACTGTCTCCACAGAGCACCTGTGCTGGAGTATTGTTTCCATGCTGGAATACTACTAATGCAGTTACATAATTTGAAGATCAGCTGCATGTCTCCTTAGAGTTCCATAACAAAACAGAACAACCATGTACTGTAAAGTAGCGGCCCCCAATGTTTTTGGGACTGAGGACTGGCTGAGACTCTGAGGAAGGCGGGGCACCCCCTGTGTGCATGCAGGTACATGTGCGCTCTCGGGTGCATGCGTGAAGCGGTGGGGGAATGCGTGCCTGCCCACCAGCATGAGCACTCCCCCACCCCTTTGCACATGTGCAGGAGTGCCTACACACATGCACCCCACCCCTTTGCACGGGTGCTCGGGCGCATGCATGAAAGGGTGGGGGAGAGCTCACGCCAGTGCTGGCAAGCGTTGTGTATGCAAAGCAGCTGTGGGGAGGGGAGTGCGGGGGGGAGGTCTGTCTCCGCAACCCGGTCCAGCTCAAGCCACGGACTGGCACTGGGCCGTGGACTGGGGGTTGATGACCTTTTTTGTAAAGAAGGAGAGAAAGCCCCAAATAGGAATGGTTAGACAAAGCCAGTACACGCATCTTACACAAAATGTTTTAATCTCTCCTAAACGATATTGCTTCATTGCCACATAACCCTGCTGCACTCTTGCGCAGAATAAATTCCACTGCACCACATGGCATATTTACTTGCAAATCAGCAAGTGATGAGCTAAATGAGTGTCTTCAGCAGTGATGAGCGAAATGAGTTCTGTTTTCTTATTCTACTGAAGCATAAAGTGATACGCTTACATAAGAATAACGTGCATAAAAATCCGGTAGGCTAAAAGCGATTCCAATCCATCCTTCACTTCTGAAACTGCCTGGTCATTTACACCAAGGGATATATAGGCAAGGAAAAAAAATAACAAACAGCTGTGTTCTGTACTAATTATTCCAACTGCTGTGTCATTGTTATATTCTACAAGTATAACTGGAGAAGACAGAGGCAGTTGTGTGTGGAAAATTCTGACATTTATTTTGAAAGCTGTGCTTACCGTTATTATCAGTCACTGTCAGTAAAATATTCACACCTCTTATTTTACAGATATAGGAAACAAGTCTGATTCCCCCAGGGTTCACAGCAAATATTTTTACAGATAACAGTTAGAAATTCGAGGCTATTTTAGGTGTTCTCTAGGGCATGTGTGCACTCACTGTCTTTCTAGAACAATGGAGCCTAATTCCAACCTATAAGTTGCTACTGTTTGAAAAAAAACTCAGTCTCAATACTGTAGTCTTTCCCCCTCTTTACTATGCCTTGCCTGGGTGTTAAATGTAAAGGTAAAGGTTCCCCTTGACATTTAGTCCAGTCGTGTCCACTCAAGGAAGCTGTGCTCATCCGTAGACAGTTTCCGTGGTCACGTGGCCAGTGCGACTAGACACAGAACGCCGTTATCTTCCCACCGAGGTGGTACCTATTTATCTACTCGCATTTTACATGCTTTCGAACTGCTAGATTGGCAGGAGCTGGGACAAGCAACGGGAGCTCACTCCGTCGCATGGATTCGGTCTTATGACTGCAGGTCTCCTGACCTTGCAGCACACAAAGGCTTCTGCGGTTTAACCTGCAGCGCTACCACATCCCCAGGTATGGGTGTTAAAGCTTCCAAATATTATTCACTTGCATCCTTTGGGGCAACAAGGAGATTGAATATTCCTCAATCTTTAAAACAACAAGCCCTTGCTTATTAAAAGGAGAAAAAAAGAGAGGAAGAAAGAAGAGTATCAAACTAGCAGAGAAAGTTACCGTAACTTTCTCACTATCCACCTTTGTAGATCCAAAGGCATTTTCCTTAAACATCAGCCATCCCGTTCTACAATGCTATGACCGGATTATGCACAGCAGGGAATCTATCTACTTGTTGCTGAACCGTATGTTAATAGAAGACAAAGAACGCAGTTTAGGAAATCTTTCAGGGAGCTTCAGTAGAGACTGCATCACCATTACACAAATATGACCATTTAATTATTTGGCCAGATTGTTTACCTACACGAAATCGATGGAAAATCTACAACCCACTCCTTTTTTCACAAAGCAATCATGTTTTCCCAGTATACACTTGGGCTCTAAGAATCACCAGAATACGTGACAATGAGTAACACACTTGGTATGGAGCAAATAACACTGGTATGGCTTGGTCCCACAATGAATTTAAAATTTAAAACTGGGTTAAAGCAACTACCCATATCTCTGCAGGCGGAGGCACTTACCACTTCCATGCAGTCTACAATTTTTGTCAGCTTATCGTCGGGTAAATTCTTCAGCAAAGAAACACTTGAAAAAGAGAATCAAACGCATCTGTTTAATTTAAACCTCTATGCACAGAGTTTCAGCTTTTTTAAAAAAAGTAATTTAATTATCTCTTAGCTGTGTGTTTTTGTTGTTGTTGGTTTGAATCCTGTTGGTGTTTGCATAAATTTGCACAATTTGCTGCAGTTGATTGAACTTCACTGACAAAATGCAAGGAAGCACCTCTCTTTCACAGTCAGGGGTGCGTGGGACCGAGCAGCCACCCACCACCTCATCAATTAACCACAAAAAGTTATGCAAACTTTATATGAACACCTACAGGATTCTGGCCATTTTGAGTCAACTCAGTCCTGATGGTGATGCACAAAAAATCTCAAAGCAAAGAAACTCAGTCCTGATGGTGATGCACAAAAAAATCTCAAACTGGAATTATCCTAGGTAATGTCTGTGGATAATGATCAGGTTGAGAGTTCGCATGTAATGGCTAGCAGCAACACAGGAGAACCACCACAAACAACAACATACTCTCAACAAATCCTTCCTGCTTTTTAATATGTACTCTTGTTTGGACACTCTTTTCTCTGTGTTTCAGGCACTCAGTCATTTGTTACAATTAGAGTTTGCAATCAGCATGTTTACAGGGCAATGCTTCTGGACGTGATGAATTTGGCCGGCTACACACCATGGCCCAGGAGATGTCCGAGTGTATTTACAGTGCTTTCTTTGAGGAGACGCTTTCTATGTCCCATTTGGAAGCCACTTAATAGGTTTCAAAGCAAAGTAGGAAGAGCAAAGAATAATGCAGGACACATTTTCTGTGACGGTGGAGAAATTCAATCAATGCAGCACTTATGTACATGCCAGTTATGCCCCACCATGTGTACAAAAGAAGATCCAGCAAATGGCTGAGATTTTTTAACTGAAGAAGCCTGCTTCTGGTTAAAAAACAACTATAGTCTAATTCTCTTAACATTTTAATTTATTTTACCTATAGAATCATAGAAAAGTGAATTTGGAAGGGCCCTACAAGGCCATCAAGTCCATCCCCCTGCTCAATGCAGGAATACAAATCAAAGGATATCTGCCAGGTGGTTATCTAAGTTTTTCTTGAATGCCTCCAATGTTGGAGCACTCACCAACTCCCAAGGTAACTGGTTCCACTGTTGTACTGCTCTAACAGTTAGGAAGTTTTTCCTGATAGTCAACTGAAATTTGGCTTCCTTTAACTTGGGCCCATATATTTCATGTATGCCCATAATTTTAAATGGTGCAACACTTTGATCCAAAGAAAGAAAGAACTACAGGTCTATTATTGCACTTCTGTGAGGTGTTTCGCTCTACTCCCCCTCTCCAATGTTGCACTTTTAATTGTCCTGTTCCTTTAAGGAAGGTCTGTGGCTGGAAAGGGGAATATTGCTAAATGGGTATGATAATCTGAGAGAGGGTTGGGGCTACAAGACAAAAATTTAAATATTCCTGCAAGTGATCTTTTCTCAACGCATACAACTGCTTCTAAGACCCAGGATGAAATAAAAATACTTTCTTATTCCCCCGATGGAATGGATACGACGGGTGGAAGAGGTTTCCTCCCACCCCCCTGCAACTCCCAAAATCCATTCTGGCCATTTAGGAGGGCAGATTTATGGAGCTGGAGGGGAAGAGTGACAAAGCGAAATCCTGTTCCAAGGGAGAAAATCCACTTGAGTGATGTTATTGTATCTGTGTTCTTTTAAAAAAACCAAACTAAACTAAAAATAAACCAACAGCTGCAGTCCATGAATGACTAAAGTAGACACAGACACTTCAACACAAATCAGTCGCTAATTAACTGAATGCTTTCTGGAGCCAACATGTATCATTTTAAAAAAACAAATTAAAATATTCATATTTTAATTGTCAGAGAGGACAATTTTTAACTTGGCAACTGTTCCAATTACATCATTCCGAATGTAATGATTGGTGATAATCCGGGATTTCTGCTAACCAATAGAGGATGTGTCATGTGCTGTCAAATTGCTTCTGACATAGAGTGTCCCTAATACCCTTTCTGGTTTCCCATTGCCATCACTCAGTGAACTCCATACCCCAGCAATTATTTAAATCCAAGTATCCTGAGTCCCAGTCTGACACTCCCCCCCTGTATCATCCTGGCTCCTGATCATCGGTACAATAAAACCAGGATATCTCAGCAGATATTCCCAGAGACCAATAACTAGTATAGGCTCATCTAAACAAATTACTGAAAGCCTATAGGTAAAGGTAAAAGTAAAGGTTCCCCTTGACATTTTTTGTCCAGTCGTGTTGGACTCTGGGGGGCGGTGCTCATCCCATTTTTCAAGCCGTAGAGCCAGCGTTTGTCCAAAGACAGTTTCCATTCTCACATGGCCAGCGTCAGTAACGAGTGCTATTTTACCTTCCCACCAAGGTGGTACCTATTTATCTACTGGCATTTACATGCTTTTGAACTGCTAGGTTGGCGAGGAGCTGGGACAAAGTGACGGGCGCTCACTCCGTCACGTGGATTCGATCTTACGACGGCTGGTCTTCTGGCCCTGCAGCACAGAGGCTTCTGAGGTTTAGCCCACAGTGCCACGACGTCCCACACTACTGAAAGCCTATACTGCAGTGGTCCCCAACCTCGGGCCTCCTGATGTTCTTGGACTTCAGCTCCCAGAAATCCTGGCCAGCAGAGGTTGTAGTGAGGGCTTCTGGGAGTTTTAGTCCAAGAACATCTGGAGGCCCAAGGTTGGGGACCACTGCTCTAGCAACTCTCCACAACATATGTGTGTTCCTA